ATAGTTTGTCGGTAGCGTAATATGTGTGTAGAATGAGGAGGAGGATTGTTGGTTGGTGCCATCGCTAGAGAAAAGTAAGCGCACAACCACCTTGTGTCACTCATCCGTCTTCTCTTTCTGCCCGGGTTCTGGCACCGTTCTCCTTCTCCCTCTCCTTCTTCTTGTTGCTCCTCTTGCTCCTGTTGCCCTCTCGCCTCCCTTTCGAGCTTCTCCTTTTTGCCCGCCATCTTTTTTGCTCCCCTTTTCCCTCACGGCCGCTGCGGGAGTCGTGCTTAATTCGAGCCACTCCCGCTGTTTATTTGCACGTTTTAACTGGAAAGTCCTCCACGCTGCGCACAATGCTGCGAACGACCCTCGAACGGTGTGTGTATATACACACGTTCTCTTATCCGACCATCTCTCTCTCTCTCTCTCGTTCTCCCGTCTCCGCACCCGACATTCGACTCGCCTCGAGACTGCGCTTCGATCGCAACGTGTGATCGTCACAGATCGAGCCGAAATTATCTTTAATTAATATTCTTAGACGGAGATAAATTAACTTTTCGATAAAGTTCCCTCCTTCCCACCTTCTCTTCCGTTCCGTTCGGCAAAAATTTAAATTTAGTGAAATTGAAGTTACGAATAAAATTTACTTGTTATAAGTTGCTTCGATAATTTTATCACGTTCGATACGATATAATGAATAATTGGAGATAATTGTGATAGGCCGAGGTTACACGAAAAGCGTGTATCTGTTATAATAGAGCTACGAGTAAATATTGTTCGAGCATTAGATAATCATTTAAAAGTAATTTTATTTCGAAATTTTTAACTCGGTTACTTTTTCAATTCTCGTTTCTTGTTCTAATGTTCCAAGTGATCCTTGAAATTATTTTCTACTCGAATAATAATAATAATAATAATAATAATAATAATAATAATAATAAAAGCGGAAACAATTTTCAAACATCGACGACCGAGAGAGAGAGAGAGAGAGAGAGAGAGGTAAGAATTTTTCGAAGGAAACGCAAGAGACTTATCGCCTTAAGGCGGAACGATAAATGGCCACTTTTCGAACGATAACGCGGAATACCGTCGCGCTCGTTCGACACGGAAGCCATCACTTTCCTAGAAAGTCTCCGACCGATAGCGCGCCAAGTTTCTTGAACCGTGTATATAGCTTCGTTTCGTACGGCGCATCCGTACTACGCCGATCGAGAGATTACGCGAGAAGAGACCACCCATGAAACCGTAAAAAAAAAGAAAAAAAAAAAAAAAAAGATTTCCGTCCCTTCATCTTTATCTCCTTCCCGCAAGCGATTTTAAAAACGCTCGTGTGTCAAATAACATAATCGCGCGGAAACGCGATTGCGCACGTGCACGCCCCAGTAATTTTCAACAATTAATAATAAAACGATCTCCAACCCGTGCGAATATTATAAATTCTTCTTCGAAAATTTTCTTTTCGATTCTCTTCGTAATTTAAACAGAAAGAAAGAGAGAGAGAGGTGGAAAATTCATAATCGTAACCTCGATCTCTCGAAGCGGAATACGATGGAATACGATACGAGAAGGAGAAGGAGGAGGAGAAGGAGAGAGGAAAACAGTGTTGGTCGGAGCACGTGTGCACGCGGTGGCACGTCTGTCAGTTCGGAATTACCCGATGTATTTTCCACGCTGGCTGTCGCGTTTCGGTTTATTCGGGCATTGTGCGCGTTTGACCTAGCCATCGCGCGCCACGTGCTCCGCCTCCTCCGCCCTCCCCCCTCCCTCCTCCACCTCCCCTCCCTCTCCCCCAACCCGTCCTCCTCGCGCTCCCACGATTCTCTTATCTTTTCCCCGAGATTAGCTCGCTGCGCAGTTTGCACGTCGATGCACCGTGCGCGCAACAACAGGAGAACAAAGGATACGCGACGTGGAAAACGTGGCCGTGCCTCTTCTTTTTCTTCTTTTTTCTCTTTTTTTTTTTATCTTTTCCTTTTCTCTCTCTCTCTCTCTTGCACACACATACACATACATTCACATTCGTCCCTCGAAGAAGTCTTCTCGAGATTGGGAGGGATTGTCGCGCGCGATGTTATTCCTTCGTTTCCGCTCTTCGTTCGGAATCGGGCAAAATTAATTATTATTACGCGTAGAAATGAGATATTACGGTAACGATCGCGGTATTGAAACCAAGCGATACGGATGAATGGATGCGAGAAATAAAAAAAAGAATTAACGTCGAGATAATCGATAACGTATAGGAATATTTTCCAAATATTTTCCTTCTACGAATTAACGATTACATGTTTTCTTTCTCCATCTTATTTTTGAATTCCGAGTTATTTCGTAATATATCCAGTTAAACCATTAATAAACTACGCACATTGTCATCTGTGAAATACGAAAATTTTGTTTCTCAAGCTTGTTCGAATTACCATCCTTCTCTCTGTATTTTTGAATTTTCGAAGTGATTTCAAGGTTAGGTCTCGCTGAATCTCCACGTTATTTGCAACGTTGTGAAACGAACGAAGAGAAACTAAACTCTGGAGACTCGATATATATATATATTACATTAGTATCAGTCGTTACTTTATTTTTATTTTTATTTTTTCCACTCTAATGCACCTCGAATTGTCTAAATAAATTACATTAGAATACTATCTCGAAGAATCTCGATCGAGAATAAAGTTGTATTCTTCGTTTCCGCTCTATTGGAATCGGACAAAATTAATTATTATTGCGCGTAGAAATGAGATATTACGGTAATGATCGCGGTATTGAAACCAAGCGATACGGATGAACGGATACGAGAAATGGAAAAAGAATTAAGATAATCGATAGCACGTAGGAATATTTTCTAAGCTTGTACGATTACATTTTTCTTTCGCTATCTTATTTTTGAATTTCGAGTTATTTCACAATATATATATATATATATATATATATATATATATATATATACATTAGTTAAATCAATAATAGTCTACGTATTATCATCCACGATGAAATACGAAAATTTTGTCGAGGTGATTTCAAGGTCAATAGCTCGCACATTATCTACAACGTTGTGAACGAAACGAAAATTATCCAATTCACGAATCTAAAGTTCCTAAAAAAAAAATGGTAAACGAACGAGGAGAAACTAAACTCGATTACGATTAGAACCAATTTCGTTGAAAAATAAGAAAGAACGTATCGTCGGTATATTTTTTCCTGTCTAATGCAGCTCGAATTGTCTATAAATAAATTACAGGATATTCTCATTCTCCTCCCTCTCGCTTCACCACAGACAAAATTATTTTTCCGCGTAAAAATAAATGTTCATACGTTACGGTAATCGTCGGTGTTAACCAAGATTTGGATTCTTTCACTTCAAAGTGTTCGAATCTCGGTGGAACTGATCTCTGTTGAACGAGGATGAAAGAGATCGTGGCGCAAAGTCGAGACACTGTTTCTTCTCGCTTCTCTCGGTCGGAAAGGCGCATAGGAATAGGCGTATAGGCGGGAAAGCAGCGAGTACACGAAGGTAGAACGTGACCTGGCTACGTATACAAGTTCCCTTTCTCGACTTTGCCCGATCCCCTATGCCCGGCTATTCGTCTTTTCTCCGTGTTTGACGGACGTCTGATGTTCAAGGCCGGTGAAAACGTGCCGCCTACCGATCCGGAATCGAACCTCGGCCGATTCTAGTAGACCGTTTCTCTGAATGGCAGATACGCGATCAAGGTTGGCCGATGGCTCCTGCCTGTCTCTCTCGCCAACCATCCAGATATCTAACGGGCTTTCAGAGGCGTGACGTGGTTCCAGGTTCAACGACCTATATTATTATCGATGTCGATAATCCCGAATCAAATCGTTATTAGATCGATCGAATGTCATATTTCTTTTCTGAAAATTCTCAAAATTTCTTTTTGATTCTCATACGAGTTTCATAAAATTTCCAAAATTTTTCCAAAGTTGATTTTGAAGAGATTTGAGATTTCGAAACGAATGTAAAGATTACCAAGTTACAAACGATTGAAATTTACGTTGGAAGAGAGAAGCAAGGCGTATCGTTGTCTCCGTTTACTTAACGTGAACTTATAAATTACTTTATAATTTAATAAATAAACTTTAATTCAGATTTTTTTATTTTGTGTTTATTTTAGAATTAATGAACGTTTAAAAGAAATCTTACGAATATACGTCAATATCCTCTGTATTATTACATATAAATGTATATAATAGAATCTCAATTTTGAATCCCAAACAAAAAATCTCATCCTTCTTCAAACAAAACTCTTGCAAAATATCGAGTCTATCTTCCCCCACTTTTCTCTCCACTTGGTAAAAAGCAGATTCACCGGTTTTGCTTACGTAACTCCTGTGCTATTTCGCAACGAATTTAACGGTTTTCAACAGAGAGATGTAATTGTTTTATTTTGCCCACAATTTATCCATTCACCTTCGAGAATCTCCTCGAAACGATCAGGGATAAAAGAAGAAGAGAGATGAAATTTAATTCGACATCTCGCTTTCCCGTCCAACAATTTCTCGATTAAAAATTTCACGGAACAGCGGAACTTTCCGATTCGAGGAAACGAGCCGATCGACGCGTTGCGGGAATCACGTAACAGATCCGCGTAGAGGTTGAACCGGAAAGTGGCGGGCATTGTTGTCGCGCACACGTGTTAGTTAAGAAGAATCCAGAATCCGGATCTCAACACGGTCGTTGAGGAGCCTCCTTCGGACTCCTTTCTTCCGTTCTTCTAATCAAATCGAAACAAGCTTCTAAATGGTTTTCTTCAGTTTCTTGAAAGAAACTTTTCCGCAAAATTGTGATTAAGAAACGGAATATCGAATCACGAAAACGCGCGATAATTTATCTCGCACGTTTGCAGTAAATGCACGCGCAAAAAAAAGAAGAAAAAAGAATCGATGTTTATTTTATCCACGACTTATGTAAATAATAGGTTATATGAACATAAGAGATGACACTTGGATTAGAGATACACTAAATTGTAACCAGCTTTCCAGCTTCTTTTCTTTGTTTTTTCTTTCCTTCCGTTGTAAACGATCCTTTATTTTCCACCTGATCCTATTTCGTAACATAATAATAGTAACAATAATAAATATTTGATTCGGGAAATTAATTAACGATTGCGAGCTACTTTTCTTATCTTAACAACATTACTTACGTCGATTATCGTTGCGAAACGATAATTCGCGACGAGTTTCGCAAGCCGATGTAAAAATTACTTCTCTTTCTTTCGTCACGTGTGACGAGAACGCGAGGAAGACGCTTCGCTTCGAGGCCCTCTGCCCAATCCACGTTATATACCTTCATCGAAAATGGCGGACAGTATGTGCGCGTGCGCGTGTGCGTGCGTCCGTTACAGGATCGTAAAGTTCGCAAGGATATCGCGGGTGCCGCTTTATTTTTGTCGTCGCCGCTGCCGCCGCCGCCGCCGAAAACGGGCGTTTCGTTTTCGTGGAAGGAGAACCGGTCGTTTCGAAATCTGTTTGCGGTGCAAAAGCCGGATAAAGAAAACTGGTCCAGCGGACGTAGAGAGGAACACACGGTGGTGTTTTGGCTCCGCTCCAAACCTCCGCGAGATCGTACCCGTCGTCGCGAGTAAACTTTACCGCGTGCTTTCCTACTTTCCAACTTCGTTTACCAACTCTGGATCTGAATTGAAATATATATATATATATACATTTCGATCGAACGATTCGAAGTTACGTCGATAAGGGAGGGATCGTGGAAGATTTAAAATTTGAAAATTGGTTAACTCGATTATCGACTCGGTGTTTGTTATTATTATTATTATTATTATTGTTACTGTTATTTAAGTGTTTTTTTTCTTCGCCTGGAACAAATAAGGTGAAAGCTGCTTTCTGTGAACGAGTTGGGCACGTGGGCGGTGTCAATGAAACACAATCGGTCGCACAACTCGACGCGAGACGATATAGGTTAGAATTGGAAATTATTATTCATGTAATTATTATTCGTGTTACGGACTCGTGGACTTGAATAAGGGAAAGGAGAGGGGAGAACGAGTGATATAACGTATTCGTTTGAAAAAACGCTCGAAACCATATATGTATAATTGTAGAAAAGAGAGAGAAAAAAACAATTATCTCGAGAATGGTATCCGGTATAATTAATAGCGGTCTCTCTTTGGAATCGTTGAAAAAAGGAGAAGAAGATGGAGAAAAAAGATGTCCGTTTCGACCGCAAAACTCGATTATTAAAAGAATAACGGCGACGTGTTTTCGATAGAGAAAAAGATTGCACGATTGTCGCGATTGTGCAATCTTTCTTCAATATTTCTATCTCCATACGGCTTTCGATATTATTCCAGATAGACAAGAATAGCTCATTTTTTAATTGGAAAAAAAGAAAGAATTTCAATTTTATTCAATTGAATTCGAATCCGATCGGCGATTGATTTACGATCGGCGAATTACGATCGAAATAATTACGCGCGAAAGATGGAAAAGTGATTCGTGGCGAGATCAACAAGATCGAAAGGAAACGTTTCGGCTCGTTCGGGTCAGGAATTTCGATCGTTAAGTTTAATTGCACACCATTGTGAATAAATTTTCACGCGTAAAATCCAGCGATAACGACAAAGGTTGCGCAATCGGCAATTTATTCGTTCCTCGTCTCTTTTTTCTTTTCTCTCTTTCTCCAACAACAACAACAACGCTTCAACGTCGTTGTGCAACCGACGTCGAAATCGTCGAGCGGCGAAAATTTTTTCGGGACGCAAAAATTTCGCTACGAAAAAAAAAAAAAAAATAAAAAAAAAAAGAAACGTTTTATTACGCGCGATTTAAAAAAAAGAAAAACTCGTTCTCGGCGATTGGATTTCGTTTACACATATTTTCGACTTTTCCTTGTTTCTCTCTCGAGATCGAGACTCGTTTTTTTTTTTTTTTATACATCACGAAATCTCGCGCGATATCGTTTTAATCGGGGAACGCGTTATAAAATTCATCGCGTAACGGAGCGCGAACGAGGAACGTTAGCGAAAAGCATAATAAACTTCTAAAGCAAGATTCTTGGAATCGGCGTATTTTCTACGCGCAAGTGTTTTCAGGGGAAAAAGCTGCCATTTCGAAAGTCGTTGGCGCTATTGTAGAACGTGACCATTCCCAACCACGCGTCGTAAGTGCACAAACAAAAGATAAAGACGCTTTGTACCGGATTGGACAAGAATAAATTTAAACGGATCAATCGGATTTTATTATCTTTTTACTTCTCAACTTTGACTTCCTCTTCCTTCTCCTCCTTCTATTCTCTCGTATTACGACTCGAATTGACCCATTTTCACGGGGCAATCCCCTCCCCCGTATAATTAGATCGCGTGTAAAGACTGGCTTCCGGGTGTTTCAGCGTGCGCGAATCGTTTTATCCGTGGAGAGGAGAAGGAAATCCCTGGATACGTCACCACGGTTGTGCCGCTTCCTGTTGATCCAAACGGGCGGCGCACAGTGCCAAGTAGCCCTCCGTCGAATCGTTGACCGCCTTTTCTCTCGTCCGCGATACCACCTTTGCCAAACGCGTGACTAATCGTCTCACCGCAATCTCTCTCTCTCTTTCTCTTTCCTATTTCTTGCAACTTTGAAATTTCGAATAATCTCTCCTCCTTAATTTTCGTTTCAGAAAAAATATTCTCTCGTTTTCCCTCTCTTTTCTTCTCTTCGAGCGTGTCCGTACGAATCTTGTTCGTCCTTTTCTTCCCAATTGAATGTCGACTCCTCCCCAACGAATCTATGCTGTCGTTGACTCGTTTTAATCGCGATCGTTCGCGCTTGAATTATTTCGAAACAATAATGGAACAAGTAATAAAATGCTCGTGCCCTTTCATGCGTTCTAGAACGCATTCCTTTACACGCGGTCTAAGACGGCCACGTTCTCGGAAATACGTTCTCGGGGCCGTGTTCGTATATTTATTTATATCTCTTTCACGAGATATATATATATATATATATATATATATATATATATATATATATATACGTGCGGAGCGGGCGATTTTGGAAAATTATTTACTACTACTACGCGCCGCGCTCTACATTGTGCACACGGGGCGATTTTTGTTTCGCGCGCAAATATCCGAGCCTGTTGCCAAATTTCCCGCGCGCCTCTGCCAGATCGAATAAAATCTCGCGTGCTACTAACTCCTCGAAACCGTCTCCTTCTTCGCCCCCTCTTTTTCCCCGATAATCGATAAAATTACCGAATTGTTTCCAGATCGAAGTTTATTCGATTGACGCATTTGAAGTAACGCGAGATAATATCGATTTCGAGATAATCTATCGAATGAAACGGAGTTTTGGAATCACGTAGCTTTTGTTCGAAGCCCTGGAAGCAGAATAAATTTCATGTGTGCTTTCGCATAAGTGCAAAATACGTACATACGACGCACCCGTCAATATTTTATGTATAATGCATATGTATAAAGTTCCTGTAGAGGAACAGTCATAAAATGGAATAAATAACATTTTCTAATAATAAAATTTTATTATTTATTTCATGACGCTCATTTTTAACCATATATAATTTTTTTTAATTCGTCATAAAAATTCATGCAGCAGAGGATTAAAATTACTTTATATGTTATTGGAGTCGATCCGTCCACTTTTTAGGTACAATTATTTTCAATTATTGTACAATATTGTTCTAAACGATAAATTATCGAGGCAACTCTATTCGTAACTATATATACACGCGAGGTATAAGATTGTCGGTTCCCGAATACGCGGGCAAAAACGCGAGAGATTAGAAGAGTTGTTGGCTCGGTTGCCGAACGTTTGCTTCATTTTCTCTTTTTTGCACGTTTTTTTTCTCCCAAACTTCGCTTCCCTCGTGACGCGAGAGATCGAATTTCTTTCGTTGTTATCGCAGAAAGGAAGACTTTTTTTCTTTTTCTTCTTCTTCTTCTCCTTCTCCTTCTCCCTCTCTTCCATTCAAAATCCAACGAAATCCAACTCGCTCCTCTCGCGAGGATCAAACTACGCGAAACAATCCATAAATCTTCGCGACACACGCGTTCGTTGGCACGAGTTTGCACGATTATGTAAATCGGACCACGGTTCGATCGACAAACTTGAGAAGATATCTCTCTCTCTCTCTCTCTCCTTGGCTCGAGCCAAGAGGTGCTGCACGGTGTGGTGTCGTTAATCATCGATGGAAGATCCATCCTACGATGATGGTGGTGGTGGTGATTGCGCAACATTCGATCGCGAATTCGTCGTCTGTTTCCAACGCAATAATCGGGGAGGACCTTCCAACGACCACGCGTTCTCACGCCCACCTACGCTTCTGCCTTTTTATTTCATCAACCCTGGCGCTATTAATAGACACCGCTCGTTTCAAACTTTGTGCGTGTCTCGTTTCACGCTCTCGCTCGCTCCTGTTCCACGAGGGAGGGGGGGAGGAGGGGAGAGAAAAAAGAGATTCGCTCGTTGCTGGCTCGATTTCCACGGACGAGCTTTCTTTTCTCTCTCTCTCTCTCTCTCTCTCTCTCTCTCTCTCTCTCTCTCTCTCTCTCTCGAAACGTGAAATCGACTTGTGCAAAATCCATTGGAACTCGTTTCAAGCGAGAAAGGATTAAGGGGAAAGAAACTCGAACTCGTGAAAATCTTTCAGTCGGTTGGAAAAGATTCTATCATCCATATGTTTTTTTTTATATTTTTTTTTTGATATTTTCGAGAAAAGTTTAAGAAAAACATCATTGAAATCGTTAATAAAGAGATATTTAATTGTATTTAAATACATATCTTTATATTATTTTATTCCAAGAAAATAGAGAAACTTGACAGTTTTTTGACGGATCGATGGAGTAGGAAATTTTCAAGAAATATTTTCATCGCTTAAAGGGATCATCCGATGAGAATTCCAATCTTCGAAAACCGTACTTTTTTCTTCTTTTTAATCTTTTTCAACTTCGATTTGATACACACGAATAAATATTTAATATATGTATTTTTATAAAATCTTATTATTTTTTATTTTTAAGAAAAACTTTTGATCGATATATCGTATCGAGTGATATAACATCTTCGAAAGAGATACAGTTGTAAAATTGCTCGTAAACAAGTAAACTTCCATCGACTCTTTTACTCGTTTTGACTTCGATCTTCTAATGCTTCACAGAACGTCGTCGTAACGCATTACTGGCCCCAGTTGAGAGTGAAAACAAAGGATAACGAAGAATTTTTCGAGAAGAAATATTATTCTATTGGATGATAATTATTAACCCCGTGAAAGATATCAACAACGATTAATACAAAGCAGATATTTATTTTCGTAAAGATTCCGTTCGTCGATTGGTCGCGTGGGCTGGATAGAAAACGATCGTTTGTAACTCGGCTTCCAAGTATCTAACGGCGGAAACCACCACCGTCCATTCATCATCCGTTCGCACGGACACGATACCAACAATAATTTCGAAGAATTTACCACGTCCACGAGAAGAAGGAAGGTTCGAGCAAGCGTTGTTGTTCGATTCGAAAACAAATATTTTCCCGAGCAATTGCATATATATATATATATATATATATATCCACCACGTGGAGGAGAAATTCAAGGATTATATTTTTTTTATCGAAAATTTATGATTCACAATTACGATTACGGTCTCTCGGATGGAGAGGAGGCGAGCTAACGAGGCCTGGCCGGCTGTCATTTAATTGACAGCTCTTGTACATTGAAACTTTTCGTGGCTAGTCTCCTGTTATTTTCGGCGCATCCTACAAGTTGGCCTATTGGTACATTGGCAGCTGTCCAAATGGGATAAGCCCTGACGTATCCTCCGTGAAAGCAATTTCGTCCGTGTGTACATTTCATGCCCATGCTTCAGCGATATACCTATATTAACGTGTAAATTATGCGGCTGTAATTCTAACTTAACCACGCGCGCGTGCCTTCATTATTTTTCACGAAAAATGGAAAGTCGAAATTTTTCAAAAATCGAGACGGATTCGTTCGCTCGAGAAAGGAATTGTTGGAAAAAATCTCTCTCTCTCTCTCTCTCTCTCTCTGACATATCGATCGATGCTAACATAACCTCGTTATAAGTTTCGTAACGTTCGAAAGAAGAAAAATTCGCTTTTTTTTCTATCTCTTTTTAAAAATAGGCGATCGAAAGGTAAGACGGAGAAGAATTTTTGATTTTTTTTTTTTTTTGTTTTCAAAAAACTCGACCTAGATTCTCGAATCTTGAAATCGTAAAATAATGGAAGGGGAAGGGAGGGAAGGGGCGGGAGGAGGAGGCGAGTTGTTTTATCGTTTCGAGACAGTTGTCGAGTAGGACGTGGAGCGTTTCTGCGCGTTCTGAGATTTCGGAAATGGGACGTCAAATGTAAATGTT